GCAAGATCAAACAGTTGGTGTATATTTTTTACAGTTGCTGAGGCAATTCAGAGTCCATGTGTATTTTAGTGTATTTCAAAAATAGCGAGAGAGCGAGCGTGAGTGCGAGTGCGAGCTCGAGCGTGAGTGTGTGTCACATCACAAATACATACCAGCTTCATCACGGTGTCTGTCACGCGACTCTGTTCCCCTTTCGGGCTCTGTCTTTACATTTATTTTGAAAGATGACGCTCGCGATTATGGTAAGGGGTGTTACATTTCCGACGAGTGCTTGCGGTGTTCGGCCAATCACAATGCACTGGGTCAGCTGGCCAATCAGAGCAGACTGCGCTTGTCGGAAGGAGGGACTTTGTAGAAAACGAAGCGTTTGAGAGAGGCGGGGCATAGAGGACCTACAATAATGTACAGTATTTGAAAAAGAATGTGTTTTTTGAACATTAAAGCATGTCAACATATTCTGTTACACCAAATACACAAAATAATGATCTTTAAAAAAGCATCATATGACCCCTTTAATAATTTAGTGCTCACATCCCAAATTAAGCCAACAAAATAACCTGGAGCAAAATTTTACATAATCTTCACAGGTTTAGGTTCCACGTTCAAATGAAATTGCTGTTGCCAAACCAACGCTGACCTTCATCCACCTTCTCCCTTCCACCTTCCCTTCATTCCTCCCTCTGGTGGTATTTTCAATTGCTGAAATGAAATATGATGGAACGGTCTGCTTTTCACCCATGCAGTGTTTTGTGCTTTCACTTACAAAGCAACTGAGACAAATACATTTAACAATGTTCTTTTCTTTTCATTTTTGTGAAGAAAATAAAATGTTAAATGACACTAACATTTCATGAAATGTGACATTGTTCTTTTGATTCTGGGACCCTTTCAATTCCTACAACTGACACGGGGTCATTCTTGTGCGATTTCAATTACACAGACCTCTGTATGAGCAGGACTCGGGCAGCAGGACCCTGAAAGTGAGTGAGCTGCAGTAGTGGTGATTCATTCTTCTCCTAAGGCAATGCTCAAGCAGCCTCCCTATTATGCTTCTGAGTGGAGGGTGGATGTCTCAGGATGGAGACATCAAAGAGTCATGGCCTGATCTTCTGCAATCACAGCTGTGATGTAAAATGGAGGAAGCACTTGGGGCATAACATTTGCATCGAAGCTGTGGGATTGTGTTTGTTAAATGCTGATCTTAATGTGTAGCGTCCTCAGAATGGATCTGCTCACTATAGTGATACTGTAGCATTTTACAGTCATTTACTGTACATATTAAATAGTCAATACTGAAATTGATTTTCAGAAATTATAGAACTTGTTTTCATTGAGTCAACTAACAGAATATAAGATAATATTTTCTCTCTTGCAAGTGCAGGTTTATGTTGAATGAAGAAGCTGTGGGGTTGGTTTTGACAGACTAAGATGCTTATTTAAGATCTGTCAAGTCTAACATCCATGATGGCAATCTACAGGCAGAAATGACATGTAGCAGTTTAATATTAACAATAAATAATAAACTGATAAAAATAAATGTTCTTTTTTGGCATTATGGTTCAATGAATGGTCTTTAACAATAATAAAACTTTTCACTTGCACAGTATTTTTTTTAGTGGTTACCAGAAATAATCAGCAACATCTTAAAAATAACAAAATAACTAATTTCTTCATGGAATGCCAATGAAGAACCTGTTTAAGACTTGTAAAAAATGGTTCTTTCAAGAACGTTTGACTGAAAGTTTCTTTTAGGAACTAAAGGTTTTGAAGAACCTTTATATATATATATATATATATATATATATATATATATATATATATATATCTTATTTTTTAAGAGTGAAGCTCA